TGTCTGTGGTGTGTGTCTAAGGGCGTCATGAGACATCTCTGATAATGGCTAGTTAGTGCCAAACAGGAGCCTATGCAGAAAGTGGTCAACAGGGGCCACCTGATACAAAGTCCTGATCCCAAAGGGGCCCCTCAGGGGCCAGTACAGCTGGATGACCAGGGCCGGGCAGACCAGGCTGAACCCAGGCCCCAGTATGGATGTGAGCTTATGTTAGGTGTGGGACAGTGGTGGGGAAGGAAAGGGTGGACAGGTAGCTATGGTGAATACATGAGCAGCAGGCATGGTAGTGGCCAGCGTCCAGCCATCAGAAGGTAAAGCATCGCTCCTTGGGGTGGCCCACACGCTCCAGGTTTGGCAAACAGGCAAACTGGATCATGGGTGGAGGTCCACACATCAGTATCAGCGTCTCCTCCCCGGGAGGTGGGAGGTGGTCCCTGATCATCTCCTCATTCACGAAGCCCTGGCTGTAGTTCCAGTCGTCCGGGGCTTTGTCCACTGTGTACCACAGTTTGAAGCGAGCAGAATGTTCGTTCCTCAACTCCTCCAGCTCAGGCCGCAGCAGGATGTCTTTCTCGGACTGGTTGGCGAAGAGCAGGTAGCACACGGTGTGGTCGTTTGGGTCCTTCATGACAGCGCGAATCACTTGAAGCATTGGGGTGATGCCTGTCCCTCCTGCAATCATGCCTACAGACTTCACTGTCCTTACAACAGGGTTGGACTTCTTGTCTGCGCGGATGGCAAACTTCCCTTTGCCCTGGTAGACCAGCAGCCCATTGGGACCCCGGAATTCAATGGTGTCTCCGATATTCATGTTTTCCAGGTACTGGGACATCTTCCCTCCAGCAGGAAACTTGGGATGGGTATCCTTGAAGTAAACCTTGACCACCAAGTCCACGAAGCCCTTGTCGTCATCGCTAGAGACGGGAGTGTAGGGCCGAATGACCAAGTTCCCATCGATTCTACTTGAGAGGTAGATGTGCTGGCCAATGGGAAGGCCCAGGATGTGCTGAGGCGAAGGCAGAGCGAAGCTGAAGCGCCGTGTGTCGTGACTAATGATCTCCTTGTCGATGAGCCGCAGCGGATACTTGATGTCAGGGTTCTCGAGGGTGATGGCCGGTGAAGAGCGCTGGAACAGCTTCATGAAGAGGCTGTAGAGGAACCAGACAAGAGAGAGCACCACGTGGCTCAACGTGCTCAGCTGGGACCCCATGGTGGCGGAGAAGACAGTAGCTGCGCCGCTCCGCACCCGCTACTCGGCCGGCCGCTCCCCCCCTTTCTTTCTTTTTTTGTTGAGATTTTTGAAACAGGGTTTTTCTGTGTAGCTCTGGCTGTTCTGAAACTTGCTCTGTAGACCCGGTTGATCTCAAACTCACAGAGATCTCTCTGCCTCTTCCTCCTGAGTACTGGATTTAAAGTTATATACCACCACTGCCTGGCTCCACCCACCCCTTAATGTCTAATTTTTTATTACAAAATCTAGAGACTGAGGAGTTGTCCCAGTGGTTATAAACTCTTAATCAGATTTTCATCACAGATTCCACATGATAGCTTATAATCATTTCCACTCTAGAACTCTATTCTGGCTTTTCTGGGCTCCAGCAAGCAGACAGTGGTCTTACATACATGTAGCAATGTAGACATGTACACATGTAAACCAAATATATCTTAAAACAAATATATAATATTAAAATCCATATATAATATTATACAAAAAGCAAAATATCATAGCATATGAAGAATATAAAACACTAGTTTTTCCAGATATTCCATTATATTTTAAAGAGTTGTCAAATATCATTCCTTTTGGATTAGTTTTATTCCCATTGTCATCTTCTAACCTTAAATAAGTATTTGTTAATTTATTACCACACAGTATACATTATGAATATTATATATATACATACTATGAACGGATTATAAGTGATAACTGTTTCAACAAATTAACTACTTTAAAGTACTAATCATAGACAGCTTTGTTTTCAACAAAATATTTTAAAATATGTTACTAATTTCCATTTATTAATTACCATAATTTACCAGTCCATTAGCTAAAAAATGATTATCATATTAATTATCTGGGGGCTGAGACATTTGAAGTATATCATAGTAACAGTGTTTTCATATTTTAATAAAAGATAAAAGTAAATATTCTATATGCACATACGTCTAACAGACTTATTTATGCATTATATAGATTGAAGGGTTTTGTATTCAGGTGATTATCTGTTACTTGAAGAATAAGCACAAAAGAAGCACCACAAACCTGGACCTGATTACTCTCTCTGAATTATTCTACAGAGGTCATTAGGAACACAGTTACTCCTTCTCTTCTCTCTTGTCAGTGTGCTTTCATAACACACCCCACTCCTACAGTACCCCATAATTTAACCCACTTAACTAGCCGTCATGCATAATAAGAAGAGATTGTTCAATATTTCTGACAATAATTCAGCAAGTTGTCAAAGTGTATTATCAGCTCCATTAAAATCTAATCAGACTCAATAAATGACATGCTTGACTAATTTTATCATATGCTAGATGTAGTTTGACCTCTTTCTTCCTCCCTCCTTCTTCTCGTGTGTGTGTGTGTGTGTTACTATTTTACTGTATGCCTTGTGGACACAGAATATTTCATTTTAATATAAAAGCAAGAATGGTAAATTAAATTTCTTATGCATGACACAAAGTAATGAAGTTTACCTATTGTGTTTATAAAATGAGTGTCTTACATAATACTTGATTTTTCTGACAATCACATGAACCATACAAGTTCTGTGTTTTCAGAGTAGAAGTAGGTTTTAGGGTTAGAAAAGTTTGTCACAGGGAAATTTTTGCTTCCTAACAGCGTTGAACCTGGAAGCAACCTAGTTGCCCCTCAACTGAAGAATGGATAAAGAAAATGTAGCACATTTAAACAATGGAGTACTACTCAGTGGTAAAAGAAACAATGACATCTTGAAATTTGCAGGAAAATAGATAGAACTATGAAAAAACTACCCTGAATGAGATAACCCAGACACAGTAAACAAACATGGTATATACTCACTCATAAGTGGATATTAGACACAAAGCAAAGGATAACCAGCCTATAGTCTATGATCCCAGAGAAGCTAGCTAACAAGGTGAACCCTAAGGGAGACATACATGGGGAAGGAGAAACAATATGAGCAAAG